GGAGGAGGAGGAGGAGGAGGAGGAGGAGGAAGAGGAGAAGGAGGAGGAGGAGGAGAAGGAGGAGGAGGAGGAGGTGAAGAAATCATCTCGGAAGGAGGCTGCTGCTTGGAAGGCGCCGCCTTACGTCTCTTGATGAGGCCAGCGCCGACTAAGCTTAGGTCGGGCGTGTCCTCCTACAGGCGCACGTTGGACGAGCACTCAAACATAACCCAACCATACGCAAACATGCGCAGCAACAATTGTAGCATAATCGCCCCCGGACTTGTTTCCCTACATCAAACAGTTATCCTGTAGAGAGAGACGCGCCCGCCTTAACAAGAAGCAGGGGCGGGCGGGGCGCTCCTGGCCGCGCGGCCTCTTCCTCGCCGGGGGTCCGCCCGCGGGAGGCCGAGCAGGCGGAGGAGGAGGAGGAAGAAAAGGAAAAAAGGAGGTGGTGGTGGATGAAAAGGTCGGGAGCGGCCAAGAGGAGGGTGTCCAAGAGGGGGGGGTGCAAATCATTACTGGCGGCATGTGCGCGGCCCAGCGGGGGGGCCTGGGACGTAATGAAATAAGAAGAGGCGCCATGGGATCTGGGGAAATATCATGGCCCGCGCCATGATATCCACCCCTCCCTAGTCATCACCCCCCTCTTTTCCGCCCCCGAAAAGGAGGGGAGGGGGCATAGGATAAGCATGACAACGGGAATGATGGAGGAGGAGGAGGAGGAGGAGGAGGAGGAGGAGGAGGAGGAGGAGGACGGAGGACGAGGAGGAGGAGGAGGACGGAGGAGGAGAAGGACGAGCAGGAGAAGGAGGAACAGGAGGCGGCCCCCTGGGCCTCCTGGGGGGTGCGGGCGCGCGGGGGGCGCCGGGCCGCGGGGGGGGCTGTGGCTCGAGCAGGGACCGACCGACCCGGCATTCCGATGGGCCTCTGCCAGCAGGCCGGGCGTGTCTCGGCGATGGACAGACGTCCCTGTAGTAGACCTTCCCTTAGCGAAAACGGCCTGGGACCGAAACCGACGGACCAGGACCCGCAAAAATGACGGCCGCGACGCCCTCTCGCGAACCGAAAACGGCCAATTCCTTGATCGACGTGTCAGGTTAGGAGGTCTGTCCACCCCCGAATGTCCTACAAAGGGGTCTGGGACGAAACCTCAAGCACGGTCCAAACCATCAGAAGCATCCGGCAAATAATCGGAAGAATCGTCCCAAACTATGTTCCACTAGGTTTGGAGATTCCTACGCCCGACGTTTGTTTAGACGGTGAAGCCGACGTATGGAACCAAGACGGTCTCAGCGTGGGAAGTTCCGATAACGCGTCGTGCAAACCAACGAGACGGTTCTTATGACACATGTTCTGGTGGGCCCACAGGCAGCAATGGGCACTTCGCCATAGCCGGAGTGGCGCCTCAAAACCCCGACTACTGTGGGGCTCCGAAGGACCGGAAGCTTCATGCCAAACTCGGCGGGATCATACAGTGGGGCTGCATCTCCGAATTCTTTCCTCTCAGCGGCCTAACCTATCGGGCGGAACTTGGGGAATGGGGTTAACTAGGTCGGACATGTCCTCCTACAGGCGGATTTTGGACGAAACTTTCAAAACACACAAATTATAAGATACTCAAACACACAAAATCGTCCCCATACGTGTTTTGCTGATTACTTTTTTGGACATCCCCCCTGTGGAGGGACATGCCCGACTTCAGACTGGGGGCGAGACACTGCCTGCGACCTCGGAGGCTACCCAACAACTGCCCAGACCTCCGGCGCATCGGACCGAAACACGACGGGGGTGTCTCACCGCTTCAACCTGCTGCCGAGGCAGTTTGCGCGGTGCCGTCCCCCGGCTTGCCCGAGCGCGCGTTCGGACAGCCTCTGCCGCTCGCTGCGACGTCGAGAAGGGCTTCTTCGCTGCCTCGGGCCAGGCAGAGGGGAACGGTTGCTTCTCCGGCGCTTCTCGGGGATGGACAGAACCCCCTTTAGTAAAACGTTGTTTAGTGACAACGACCTCGGGCCCAAACCTGGCTGGCACAAGCTTGGGCAATGACGGCCGCGGCGCCCTCTCGAGAACCGAAAATGGATAATTCATTAATCGGCGTGTCAGGGTGGGGGTTCTGTCCACCCCCGAGTTTCAACATTGGGCGGAAGGGGGGGGGGGAGGGGGGGGAATCTGGCTCTGGACCTCTGCAGCAGTGCGTCCTGCGGGGGAGCTTCCACCTGCTCGGAACAAGCGCCAAAAACAGCCCAGCCCCACTCCATGGGGGATGGGGGGGGGCGAAGGCCCCCGCCGATCGGCAAAACGAAGAATGAGAAAACACGATCCCATGAACAAAACATGCAACAAGGCGGCTGCCTTCCCCCCGCTTCCGGCCTTCTACAGAAGCCGCCGCTGGGCCCCCGACCCATGGAAAAACCAATAAGAACTCTAGGGTTAGGCCGGGCGTGTCCTCCTACAGGCGGATTTTAGACGAAAAGTCAAAAATAATCAAAAAACAAGGCTAGTCAAAAATACTCAAAGAAATCGCTCCCAGACTATTCTTCGACCATTTTTGACTATCCCGTGGAGGGACACGACCGACTCAACTTTCGGGATGGAGAGCCGGCCCCCCGGGGAGCGGGGCGAGACTTCCAGGGCGGGGCGGGGGCCCCGTGCTGGAAGGAGAAGACGCCCCAGGACCGTCGAGTGAGACGCACCGAGGCATACAGACACTACGCGTCCTCCTTGGAGGCGAGCGTCCGACCCGAACACACGGTATACCCATCTTGTAGCACATCGTTTCCCGAGCGGTGTGGCCAGGAAGCGCCCGCCACGACGCGTATACCAGAAAGTTTCTCGGTGCGCGCGTCGCCCCTCGGGGGGCGCAGCGCATATAGTAGAAGCATGCTGGAGTGACAACGATCAAGAGGCGACTCCGATGAGAGCGCTGGGGAAATGGTCCGGACCTCCGGAGGCAGGAGAGCCCAGAATCGAATCGACAACTCGGCTCGGCGATCGAAGCGAATCGAATCGGCGGAAATCGGTAGCCGAGCCAGGAAGAGTCGAATCGGCGGAAATCCGCCGACCCCTTGTGGGTCTGTAGGCGTGTGAGATTATCCTCCCCACATAATCCCCCACCCCCCAGGCCCCAGGGACCCCAAACCGGCAATTCGACCCCCCCCTCCTCGCCCAGCCCGACCTCGGACCGAAAGCGCCACGGGGGAGCGGAGGGCTCCTAAACTGGCCAAGAAGGCACCACAACGCCCCCCAGACGGTCCCAGGGGGCCACGATTCGCCGAAATATCACCCTGGACGCCCACGATGGCCTCCAGGCGGCCTCCGAAGCTGCCAAGACACCCCAAAAGGCCCCAAAGATGCGCCCCAAGAGGGTCCCAAGAAACAGAAATCGCCCTGTTCCCTTCGAATAACAAGCATTTGTTTCGCATGCTCGCCGATTCGGTTTTCACAACGTCCCAGACGGGCAAAGAAACCTTCAATATCGCCCCCAGACGGCCAACGGGGCCGCCAAGAAGGATCGAAGAGGGTCCAACAACAGCCCCTGAAGCCCCCAAGACAGCCCGAGAGGGCCCCCAGACGGCTCCAAGACGGAGCCCAGAGGGCACCTTTTCGAGCCTTCGGCCCCCAAGACGCCTCCAGCCTGCCCCAAGAACAGCCCAAGAGGCCCTGAGGGACCTCCAAGAGAACCTCAAAGGCCTCCAAGGAGCCCCCAGGAAGCCCCCAAGAGGCCCACAAACTTGGCCCAAGATGCCTCGAGGCGGCCAGCTATGGCCTGCAAACAAGCCAAGATGCCACCCAAAGGCCACAAAAGAACACCAAGAGGAACGATACCAACAAGGAAGCAACAGGAACGATGTCGAGCGCCGTGTCATGATTCGGACAAGCCTCGTGAAATGCGGCCCTGCAAGCGCAGTAGTTTATATAGGGGTCGGCGGATGTGGCGTAAGCCCATAGGATCCACGTCCAGAGGTGACGTGCTGAGCGGCAGCGTTTTCTGCGGAGGCGATCATGCAACGTATCCAATGTGTCCAATGACTGCATACTTGCAACGTATTGTATTGTGTTACATTATTATGTCTCCCCCTAACCCCCCCAGGGGCCACGCCACTTCCGTCGACCCAAAGGTGGCGGACCCCTTTCTGGGCTTCAAAAACATCACGAAGCTATGAGAAATCAGCAAATTCGGCCTCTTGGGCCTCTTGGGGCCCAAAGAAAGTTTCAAGACGGCCCAAGATGGCCCCAAGACAGCCCAAGACGGCCTCAAGACGGCCCAAGATGGCCCCAAGAGGGCCCAAGATGGCCCCAAGAGGGCCCATGAGGCCCCCGAGAAAGTCCAAGAGGCCCCCAAGAAGACTCCCGAGAGCGCCTCCGGAGGCCAAAATCTTCGATTCTCCTATAGTTTCTGGGACAAATTCAACGTTTTCGCCTTTTTTCGGCTCTCAGAAGGCCATGACGACCCAAGCAGCCTCCAAAAAGGCCACCAAACGGTCCAAAAAGGCCTCGAGGGCGCGAGGGGCCCCAACACGGCCCTAGAGGGCCCCGAGACGGCCCAAGAGAGCCCCAACGCGGCCGCGAGAGGCTTCCCAAGTGGCCTCCGAAGTGGCCAGACGGCGTAAGAGCGCCCAAAGACGGCCCAAGACGTCCCCAAGAAGCCCCAAGAGGCTCCAAAGAGGCCCCCCAGAAGCTCCAAAAAGCCCCTAAGAAGCTTCCAAGAAGCTCCCAAGAGACTCCCAGGAGGCCCCGCAACGACTGGACTGAACGTGCTCTGAAACATTTCCCCCCGCTCGCGAGACTCCCGGGGCAGCAAGGCATGGCAGGACGCGCCCGCGAAAGCTCGTGGCACCGAATTAGGGGGGGAGAGGGAGGAGGAGGAGGAGGAGGAGGAGGAGGAGGAGGAGGAGGAGGAGGAGGAGGAGGAGAGGAGGAGGAGGAGAGGAGGAGGAGGAGGAGGAGGAGGAGGAGGTGGAGGCGGAGAGAAAACGCCAGCATAGCAGCGCTATGCAGGCTCCCGGGGCCCTACCCGCAGCCTACGCGAGCAAGGACCCTCGCCCGGAGCGCGGCCAGCCGCTCGGCAGCCGGCGGTGCCGACGACGGCCGCAGGGCAGCGGCCCGCGCCGCGCAGATGGCCTGCGTGGCAGCCGCGTCCGCAGCAGCGCGGCCGGCGGACGCCGCGCGCGCCGCGGCGGCGCGCTCCTTGCCCCGGGCCCCCAGCGCAGCGCGGGGCCGGGCCGCGGGCGCGTGAGCCGCGCGCAGGCCGGCCAGCTCGTGCCCGACCAGCGCCGGCGGCTGCGCCAGTGCCGCCGGCGGCGCTGGGGCGGCAGCAGCACGAGGCCGGGCCCGCGGCCGCCGCACGGCAGCGGAAACGCGCACCATGACCCGCTTGAGGGCGCCACCGGGTCCGCACAGGATGCGCTCGTGGTGATTTGCAGCGTATGTGACGGCCCCCAACACCGCGGCCTCGTGCGCGACGAACCTTTCTGCGATGGCAAACAGCGCCGAAGCTGGACCGCAGGGCGGCGGGCCGCCGGCAGCAGCCTTGGCAAGGACATCTGCCAGGCGATTTGCCCTCCAGTCAATCGCCGTGACAACGTGCTCGTCAGACCTCATGGCCGTGCCAATGACGGTCTGGTTGCCATGAGCAGGCATCCACGTAAGTTTGCCAGCAGAGACCAATTCCGAGATGTCACCGTCGACGAGGGTGGACACTCGAGACCACACCTGCGCAAGCATCCGTGTGGGTTGTGTGGCCTGCGCCGTTCCAGCAGCAACCGCCGTGAGGAGCGCCCGGCAGTCGGTGCGAATGGTCGGCGGCCTGAGGGTAATGGTAAGCACGAGCATGACTGCCCAGAGCTCTGCCGCCGCCGCCGTGCGGATCCAGGGCGGAGGCGCGGCGCAGCCGTACGCCACGAGGTCCCCGTTCTCGGACACGACCACGAGCGCGCACCCAGTGCGCCGGAGCTCCCAAACAGGCCCAAACTTCATGGAGCCATCCGTGTACCAGCACAAGTCGGCGCGAGTGGCGTCCGGAGGGTCCGTGAACCAGCGGACGGCCGCCTCCTCCTGCGGCACAGGGCGTGGCAGCCGAAGTGCAAGAAGCCCGCGAGTGCGAAGGAACGTCAGCCGGGCCTCTGGGAGCACGGAGAGCAAGTGCTGGCATGCCTCCGGCAGCTCTGGCCACCCATCCGGAGGGAGCGAGGCCTCGCAAACCCGACGATGCACAAGGGTGCCGGGCGTGACGCCACAGAGCTGGCATGCCTGGCCGGCAGCGGCATCAGCGTTCCGCAGCTTGGCAATGCGGACCTGGGGCCATTGGCCCCCTGTGGCGGCGGACAGGAGCTGAGAGCGACATGGCCCCGACCATTGCAACGTGCTCTGAAACACCCTGTAGAGTTAGAGTTTTCTGCGGAGACGATAATGCAACGGACCCAATGTCTCCAATGATTGCATAATTGCCACAAGTTGCATTGTGTTACATTATTAAGTATGTCTCCCCCCCTTACCCCCCCCTCTGGGAGCTGCGCCACAGGAGCGGACCAAAGTCCCCCCCCCCCCCCCCCCGGGTCTGAAGAACCTACCAAAACCTATAGAAAATCAATGATTTCATCTTCTTGGGCTTCTTGAAGGGTCAAGAGGGTGCCAAGACGGCTCCAGATGGGCGCTGCGCGGACCAAGACAGCCCCGAGACGGTCCAAAACGGCCCCAAGAGGGCCCCAAAGCCCCACTGACGGCCCAAGACGGCCCCAAGAGCGCCCACAACTGCGCCTCCAGAAGCCAAAATCATTGATTTCCTTTAAGTTTGGTAAGATTTTAGCGATCTCGCCTTTGCGGCCCAGGCAGCTTCCCAACTCGCTCCTGAACAACCCAAGAAGCCCCCAAGAGGGCCCCAATACTGCCCAACAGAACCCCAAAACGGCCCAAAGAGGCCCCCAAGACGGTCCAAAAGGCCCCTATGACGGCCCAAGAAGACCCCAAGACGGCCCCAAGGCGGCCGCGAGAGGCCCCCAAGACGGCCTCCGAAGGGGCGAAACAGCACCCCAATACGGCCAAAGGCGCCCCCAAGAGGCCCCAAGAGGCACCCAAGAGGCCCCCAAGGGCCCCCCAAAAAACCCGAGGCCTCCAAGATGTCCTCAAGAAGCCTCCCAAAGGCTCCAAAGAAGCCCCCCAAAGGCCACACAGCGACTGGAGTGTAATGTCATTTTTCCACCCTGGGCGAACTGCGGCGCAGCGCCAGCCAGGTGGAAGTTGGTCACAGCGGCGCCCATGATTAGAGCCGCCGCTGGAAAGAAATATGGGGAGGGACTATGAAAAGGAGTGAAGGGGGAGAGGCCCCCAAAAAGCCCCCAAGAGGCCCAAGGAAGCTCCCAGGAGGCCTCCAGGAGGCCCCCAAGAGGCTCCCAAGAGGCTCCGCGACGACGTGACTGTACGTGCTCCGGACGTGCACCCCGCGAAGCGAGAGGAATCGTCAGGCCTGCATGCGTCCAATGGGAAAAGTCGGAGCCCGAATCGGAGTCCGAAACGGAATCGCATCGGAATCGGACGCCATCGAGATCGAACCGAATCAAACCGGAGGAATCGACACGAGTCTGATGTCGGGCGTGTCCCCTTATAGGGGGATGTTCGGCGAAACATAAAAACATGAGAGACCTGCACTCTGTTTTCATTCAGCAATGTGTCTAATCAACTCTGCCACCGTCATCGCGAGCTGGCCCACGACAGAATGAGAATGCTAAAGAGTATATACTCGGCATTATGCAATAGCTGATTCCCTTGAAACGTGGAGTCGGAACGGCACCGCGCAAGAAGAGGGAGAGGGGGGAGGGAAGCTTGAGCGAATATATAGTGGAATACAGGGGAGCATGGTGAAGACGCCGTTGGGTCCCTCAATCCCGTGCCCGTTTGCAAGCACACTCCGCACTAACATGAGAGACCTGCACTCTGTTTTCATTCAGCAATGTGTCTAATCAACTCTGCCACCGTCATCACGAGCTGGCCCACGACAGAATGAGAATGCTAAAGAGTATATACTCGGCATTATGCCTGATTCCCAAAACGTCCCGAAAGGTAGTGAGCTTATGAGTTGATTGAGTATTGGTAAGCACGTTGACATACAGCCGTACTGCACAGTATTTTGGCCAGGAGCTGGGAAAAACGGGGTGGGTAAGTCTGGGCCTGGGATGTCATACGTTTGCCCTCCAGCTCCACGTGAGGTTTTCCAGTGAAACAGCAAGTCCCCCGACCGTGGCACATATACTTATCGCACAAGCTGACATCAAAGGGGTCGCAATTGCCGAACATGAGTTGGGTACGCTTTCGCCACGGGGTTCCAAAGGCACACTGGTCGATAATCTTAACATGCACCTTGGGATCGTTCGCGAACTGGATGAAGCCTGGGACCCACCAAAGTAAACTTGTCGCTGGGTTCTCGACGGCCCACGGGATGCCCAGGGCGTGGATGTACCGAATGAGCTTGAGGATCCTGCGGGCCTGGAGATTTCCGGTCCGAAGGGCTTCCAGATCATTGGCCGAGAAGGGTTTGGCCGGTTTCGTAACACCCCAGGGCTCAGTACGCGAACGGATCACGTTGGTTCTGTGACGAGCGATGCCCCAAGAGCGGCACTCGATAGCGATCATGGCTGCAACCAACTTACCATTCTTGGCCTCCGAGCACAAAAGCTGGATGTTCTTCAGAAGTGTCAGATCCAAAGAGTCTGAAATAGATTTGCCCCACAGCCGAGCCCGAATACCGCATCTGCCTGCTGCTCGGCCCACGCCGCCTGTGCCGCCAAAAAGATCGGCTAGGTGCGGCGTCGCTTCTCTGGGGCCGAGCTCGGGATGACGGGCGGTGCGATGGCCGAGGGGTCGATCTGGCCGCACAAAAGGGGCCCGAGCTGGAGCTCGCACCTGTGCACGTGAGACGCCAAAGAGGCGCTCAGCTTGTCGACGCTCTCGACAATCTTGGCCTTGCTGTCGTACCTCAGCGCCGACTTGCCCGCCTTCCACCGCCCCCTGCTCTTGATCTCGGCCCGGGTGCGATACTTCATGGCGGCGTCGATGGAGGCGCCTGAGTGCCTTGCCTGATAAGGCACGGCCGTCAGCCCCAGCTTCTTGCAGGCGATCTTGAACTGGCGCGTGTAGCTGCTGTACTTGAAGTTGAAGACCTTGGCCTTGGGGTCGCCTGCTCGCAGCGCAGCAACCACCGTCGTCAGGTAGGGCGCCCACCTGCAGCTCAGGTCGATGCTCTCGTCCGTCGCGCACGTCTTGGACGCCGCTCCCCGCCCCTGCCGGAAGGCGAAGCAGATCCACGAGGCAGAGAGCCCATGCGCCGGGGCGAGAAGGTCCCCCTGCAGCAGCTTCAGGGGCTCCGAGGGCCGCATGTAGGTCACCAGCATGAACAGCGTGTACACCCCCATGTTCCAGAAGTTCGCGCGGCACAGCTCCCAGATGATGGCTGCCCAGATGCTGAAGGCCAGGGGGCGGCGCGATCGTGGCGGGCAGCGGCGTCTCCAGCCTTTCAGAGCCCGGTAGCACCGGGAAAGATGAAGGCCTCCATGCCGCCCGAACTCGGGCAGGAAGTGCTCCAGCCCGGCCACGAGCTTCTCGCCCTTGCTGAGGTTCTCGCCTTGGTCGAAAAGCTCTTGCAGCTGCCGCGCCACCGACGCGTCCACCTCGGCAGCCACGCCGAGAGGCTCGCCCAGCTCGCGGGCTCGAGCCCGCCAGGCGTTCACCGCGTCGTAGTAGTCGGTCTCCGTCTTCCACTGAACCGCGCTCGACTCCAGCGGCAGAAGACCCAGCCCCTGCAGCCGCTTCGCCTCCACCGGCTGGCGCGCTCGCCCGACCCGCGGGGCCGCCAAGACTCGCACTCGGCGAGCCGGCCGCACTTGAACCTTCACGGTGTCGGAGGTCGCGTCGCTCTCGTCGTCCTTGTCTGTCACCTCTCCGTCGCTCCACTCGTCGAGCGTCCGTTGCTCCTTCTCCTTCGGGGCCTGCTCCAGCTTCGCCACCAGCGCGTCCCCGGACGCCAGACGGCGGGCCCGGGTCGCCCTGCCAGTCGCGGGCGCCGGCGTGAACGTCACCAGGTTCCTCGAGACCACGGGCGCCGCGGGGGTCGACGTCGACCCGCGGGGCAGGCGGCCTGATTGCGCCTTCGCCCGCGGCGCGGAGCGGGCAGGCCCCAACCTGGGGCCCCTCTCCATCACATCTGAGTGGTTCAGGAACAGTGCGGGAATAGCCAACAGAGTCAAGGTCAGCACGTGAGCCAACATGTTCTACCGAAAACCGACGGGACGGCTCATCCGCAGCATTCCACTCGGAAGGTATCCAGCGAAAACAGACTCGCAGTCCGAGGGCCAAGCACCACGACCCCATGCGTCTCATACACATCAGGGTCCTGAAGTCCGTGGTGCGCCCCCGAGCGAAGGCTAGACACACCCCCATGTTATCAACCAAGAAGAGCACCCTCGCGTTCCTGACTTGGCACTCGCTCGCCAGCGCCTGAAATCCCAGGACCAGGGCCCTAGCCTCCAAGGTGAAAATGCCCTCGTCAAAGTACTTCCAGGGGCCCGCCAGAAGGGTACTCCAGTGGGCTTGCGAGAGCAGCTTGTGGGGGACCTCCGGGAAGCTAGAGTCCACATCATACGGCCTGTCGAACTCCCCCTCGTCCGCCTCAGATCCAAGCTCCTCAAGACTCCCGAAAAACCTCGACCGGGCAGAAACTCCAGGAAGCTTCCGAAAGCGGCCCCTCTCCAGGATCCCCCCCACCTCCGAGACGTCCTGAGGGCCCCACTCTGAGACGGTGGCCCCGAACCCCTCCTCCGAAGCGTCCGTGGCCACGACACCAGGGGACCAGGGCAGCGTCCACGAGGCATCCATCAGGAACAGGAGGGAGGCAGCGGTCAGCATCTCCTGCCTAGCGGTGTCCCACAGCGGCATAGGGGTAGCGTAGTACTTATTTATGAAGGCATAGATACTCCTGAAGACACTCATCATGCTACGATTGATCAGCGCGCAGAAGGTGAGGTGGCCCAGCAGCACTTCCCAGACACGTCCAGACAGCTTCCGACACGACAAGGCATACAGAACACCCTGGCGCACCTTCCACAGTCGAGCGGGCGCAAGAGAAACTCTAAGGCCCTCGAGGTCTATGTGGGTCCCCAGGGCCTTCGACGAAGCGGCACTCACCTCGTGCTCGTGGGTCACGAGCCCAACGCTCTCGAAACGAGCCGCCGCGTCGGACAGGACGGACGAGGTATGAGAGGGATCACAAGAGAGAACACCCAGATTGTCAACGTAGATGTAGTGACATATCCCGGAGCCCTCCAAGACGAGCCCCCCCTTCTCGCCCTCGCCTTTCTCAGCAAACCTGAAGACCCCAGGCCGACCGCGATCACGAAGGAGGACAGAATCACGAAGACCAGGAACATTAGCCATACGATGCTCACCCGCTTGCTGGCATAAGTAGAGTGACCAAGAGAAACCCATAGGAAGAGAAGCCCAACATATGTCGACCTGGTCATCAACACCCAAGACGCTCCCGCCAACATTGGTTCCCACGACCTTCAGTTCCCCTGCTGTGGCGGCACCCAAACCGAAGTAACTCGCCAGGCCCAAGGGAAGACGAAACCGATGGAAAGCGTCCTTAACATCCGCCAGCCCCAGACACATCTGGGCGCTACGAAGTTGATCAGGAGTAGGACTAGAGCAACCAGGCGGAAGAGAAACCTCGATCCTCGCGAGGCTCTCTGACGAACAGAGGTGGACTCCAGGGGAATCAGCAAAACGCCTATTCGCACGACGAGCATCAATGATGAGCCGACTCTTACTTTTACCGGCCTTCTTCACAAAGAACATACCGACGTGCTCCTGCGCCGAACCAGCTGGCAAAAGCGTGACCAGTCCAATCCGCAGAAGCGCCCGCACCGGCCGCAGAAACTCGCGGCGGCTGCGAGAAAGCACAGGGTCCCAATAGGGAGTTATAGAGGGCAGCGACTCCTGTCGCTCCAAAAAGTCCGTCGAGGTGCGCAGCATGCGCTCGTAGTTCTGCTCCGAGAATTGGCTCGCCTCTGGGCCCACAACCTCCTGCACCGAAGGGGCGCCGACGAGGCTGTCAGGCAGGCTCACAGAGGAGACATTGGAGAAACTGGCAAGGTTGTGTCCACCGGGCTCTGCATCGCACACAGCCCGGCCGCGCAGCAGCTCGAGAAAAGCCGCTCGCCGGCTAGGGATCGCGACGCCTGAGGTCAAAAGGGAAGAGATCCGGTCTCTGACGCGCGCATGCACACTAGCCTGCTCTGAGGTACGCGGCGGCCCGTACTCGGGGCGATGCCGGTCCCCAGCCATCCAATTCAAAGCGTTCACAGTTGCGTTGACATCAGCATTCAGTCTCCGCAAATGGCCTCGCAGGCCAGAAGCCTGTCGGCCACGTCCGCTGGGCACGGCAGGTGCCGGGGAGAGGGGAATTGGAAAGAGCGGCAGCATGGCAACGCGCCTCACACGGCTGTCACCTGCCACCGAGTCTGGGCCTCCAGCGTCGACTCGACCACGGTCGGCGCCGGCCCCGAGCATCGCCCCTGTCCCGGCAACTTCACCTTCTCCGCCTCCGCGCCGGCTCCCTGTTTGGGCTGACCACGTCCTCCGCCCTTCGGGTCGCCCTTGGGCCACCCGCCGCGGCCGCCTCCGCCTCCGCCTGCGCCAGGAAGGACAGGTTGACTGCCCTCAGCGCCGGCGCCCGGATGCAGCCCGCGCGCCTTCATGCGCATGTTCTCGATCTCCACCTCCTCCTTCGCGCGGCGGTGGGCATGCGAGCGCAGCTCCGGCGGCGCCGCCGAGGCCGAGTTGGCCAGAGGCATGAAGTGCTTCACGCCCTCCCAGTTCGCGCGGCCAGGAGTGCCAGCGGAGTGCGCCTCGATGATCTGGCACACCCTCCTCGACACGGCCTCGATGCTCGCCAACGATGGCCCGTTGACCTGGTCGTAGCAGCCGCTCAGGTACAGGATGTCCAGCAGGAGCTTCATCTCGATGCCCGTGCGCTCCTGAGGGCTGACGCCCGCGTCCCGGCACCATATGGGATAGAACAGGCGAGGATCTCCCCCTTGGCGCTGGATGTTCTTGAACAACGCGAGCGTGGTCGCCGGCCCCTCGTGGTGCTTCCCCCAGTCGCTGAAGTGGCTGAACGAGATCTCGGCGCAGACCGATCGCCAGTCCTTGTGCCGCTCCCCGTGCTCGTCGTAGCTCACCGACAAGGTCCTCGCGTCCTCGCCCGCAGGAGGGGTCTTGGTGCCGCCGTCCAGGGCCTCGCTCAGGCGGCCCTCCAGACCCTTGTCCGCCTTCACGGCGGCGCCCTCCTCGTCCAGGATCTTGCGCACCGTCATGTGCACCGTGTCCAAGAAGGTGGCCACGTCGGCGATCGGCACCCGTTTCACTGGCACCGGCCGCCGACTCACGTCCAACGCCATGGCGTAGTCACCTGCCATCTCGGCGTCTGGAGCAGGATGGCGCTCCCGACCGAAATCAGGGTGGAGCGGGTCGACGATGAGCCAGGTGACGTCCGGCGGCGGGCCAGCGGCCGCGGCCAGCGGCAGAGCCGCGGCGCCCGGCGCGACAGCAGGCCTCGCCTCACCGTCGTCCCCAGCCAAGGGCACCAGCTGCGCCCCGTCCGAGTCCATCAGCGCCTGATACTCGACCTCACTCCCGTCCCACAGGGCAATGGCCTCAGGCGACGGCCGCCGACGACGAGTGATGCCATAGGACTCGCCCTCAGCCAGCTTGATCTGCTCCACCAGGTCCGCGGCGTCGAACGCGGTGCGAAACCGGTAGAAGTGCCCCTTCATCGGCTCCAGCAGCTCGGCATCAGGGACGAGATGCACCGCCTGCACCGCGCCTGAGGTACCCCGGCGGCACCTGATATTCTCAGAGTAGCGATGCCCATCGGGAGTGGTGATGATCCACACCCCTGGCCGCACCTCCGCCAGCGCGACCCGCTCGTGCCAGTAAGTGTCGTCCTCATACCAAAGGGCAAACCGCTTGCCCGGCTTCATCTCACGCATAAGCTCCTCCTCCGGCACGACGAGGCCGCTGGAGGAGAACAGCTGGTACTTCCTGTTCGACAGCATGACGCCGACGGCACCTATCGGTCAGGCGACCGATCCGATCCCTGCCCGCCCCACCGATGAGCACCCAGAGCAACGGCCAGGCGTTCCAAGCGGCCTCCAGCGCCGCCTGCACCAAGGCGAGCTGCTCCTCCAGGCGAAGCGCCGCCGAGCGGATCTCCGCCAGCTCCTCGGGCACCTCGCCCAGGCCGAGAGCCGCAGGGCCACCCGGCGGCCCCGGGTCGGGCGCGCCGGCCACCGACACACAGTCGGGGCAGACCAGCGCCGGGCAGAATGGCGCCGGGCACACCGGCTGCGGGCAAGCAGGCGCGGGCGTCGAGCTCCAGAGCCCTAGCGCCAGCAGCCCATGGACCGCGGCCGCCGCCGCGGCTGCCAGGGACCCACGCGGGAGGCCCATGCGAGCGAACCTGTGAAAGCTTGAGTGAATATATAGTGGAATACAGGGGAGCATGGTGAAGACGCCGTTGGGTCCCTCAATCCCGCGCCCGTTTGCAAGCACACTCCGCACTAACATACCCCAAAAACACCCCAAAAAGGTCAGACGATACTCGAAAAGTAGTCCCCAGACCATGTTGGGATTTTTTTTTTGGCACGTTTGGGATATATTTCTTATTTGTCATCGACAATTCCCCTGCAAGGAGGAAAGACTGGTCTACTCTGTAAGAACGGTTTTTTGAAGGCAGATCTGCCTTCAATGTAAGAACGGTTTTTTGAAGGCAGATCTGCCTTCAAAAAATTGGTCTACTCTGTAAGAACGGTTTGTTGAAGGCAGATCTGCCTTCAAAAACCCGTTCTTACAGAGGGGACGTGCCCGACAAAACATACCCCAAAAACACACCAAAAAGGTCAGACGATACTCAAAAAGTAGTCCCCAGACTATGTTGGGATTCTTTTTTTTTTGGCATGTTTGGGATATTTCTTATTTGTCATCGACAATCCCCCTGCAGGGGGACGTGCCCGCTTGAACACGAGCCCCGGGCCGGGCGAAAGGGGGGGATAGCAAAGGGGGGGTTTGAGAATCAGCTCACGCAGCTGATTTTCCCGGCGCCTCCCGGCGCCGGGAGGCGCCCATGCATCGAGGAATGGGCCCGGCGGCGGGGCCGAAACCAGCTGCATGCAGCAGCTATCGTAACCCCCACTTTCCCAAACCCCCCCCTTCGCCCGACCCGAGAGCCCCGGGGGAGGCCCCGCCTCGCAGGAGGCCGCCGGTGGCCGCCCGCACGGGCACGGCGGCCCCAGACTATGTTGGGATTTGTTTTTTGGCATGTTTGGGATATTTAATATTTCTTATTTGTCATCGACAATCCCCCTGTAGGGGGGACATGCCCGCCTTAACACGAGCCCCCGGGGGAGGCCCCGCCTCGCAGGAGGCCGCCGGTGGCCGCCCGCACGGACACGCAGCGGCCCTCTGCGCGGCGGCCTGCGCGGGCCGCCCTTAGCGCAGGCCACCGCTCGGGCTGCGGCGCGCGGGAGGCGGGGGTGCGGATGCGCCCTCTGCGGGTCGGGCGCGCTGACACACGCGCACACAAATCCCAGGATTCCCCATATATGTTCCCATACTTCCCCGACACTCGTCTTCCCCTCACCACTATGTTTTTCTGGAAGGTCCATGTTTTCTTGTGCCTGTGTGTCTCCTCACCTCTCGATCGACGCGTGCACCGCGCAGTCTGGCCGGCCACTGCGCCAATCGGGTCGGGCGAAAGGGGGGGATAGCAAAGGGGGGGTTGGAGAATCGGCTCACGCAGCTGATTTTCCAGGCGCCTCCCGGCGCTGGAGGCGGCTACGTATCGAGGAATGGGCCCCTCGGTGAGGCCGACACCAGCTGCATGCAGCAGCTTTCGTAACCCCCACTTTCCCAAATCCCCCCTTTCGCCCGACCCGACCTCTCTTCTGCGCGGGGCAGCTCGCGCGCGAGCGTCCGCGCAGCCGATAGCCACCGTCGTCGCTCCACGGGGGGCCGAATGCCCTGACCTTCCAGAGTGCCAAACAAAAGAGCACTCCAGACCCACAGATCTTCCTGGACTGCCTCGAGCCTCGACGGGAAGTGTTAGGACGTCGACGTGCTGATGCTACCTTTTAGCCCTCCTGGAAGGGGTCAGGGTAGATGGGGGCGGAAGATCGCGCCGCATCGCCGATGCATCGGCGACGTCGAGGTGGAGAACGGCGAGACGGAGCCAGGACCAGGGGAAAAATCATCGAGCGGGGACCGATCGGGGCTCTCCGAGATCCGGCCGTCCAGACAGGTGTGCCGAGCGCCGCGGCCGTTCCAGCAGCGAGCTGGAAGGATCTGGGGGCGCCCGAGAACGCTCATGGAACGGTGTATCCCGATCCTATCAGAGACAGAAAACTGGGCTCCGAATGTGGAGGTCTTGTAAATCGGATCGGAACACACGGTGTCGGAAGATCGCGCCGCATCGGCGACGTCGGCGATGCATAGGCGACGCTGGCGGGTTCCACATCGAGCTCCTGCGACCCCATGTGCTCCGACCCCAACTGGCAGGCCCAGATTAGTCGAACCCAAAACACGGGACTCCTAATTGGGCCCTGTCGGCGATGCACCGTGAGGGTGTGAATTTCGCGGCGCGCACAATCCAGTAGGGGGAGGGGGGGGAGACTTCTTAGAAGGAAGCTGCTTCTTAGAAGGCACCGGCCTAACATCTATAGACAAGGCCCGCGCCTTCTAGGAAGCAGGGTGCTTCTAAGAAGCCTTCCCCCCTCCCCCTATAGGGGGAGGGGGGAAGCCTTCTGAGAAGGTACCGGCACCGCTACTCCCCAGACCTCTCCCGGAGAGCGTTCGGACCAGAATCCCACCAGCCCTTTGGGCGTGAGTGGTTTAGAGAGCCCGCTCTGTTCTCAACCCCCTTCTTCCCCTTCGGGGAGGGGTTTACCCCTCCCCCTACCCCCTCCCCCTGGGCCTGGAGATGGCGCCTCGCGGGTGGTCGGAGGAGTCGTTTTTGACTCCTGGGAGGGCTAAAAAACGACACCCCTCACGAGGATTCTGGCCCCGACGGGGGGAGGCAGAAAAAAACCTCTCCTCTTCTTTGAAGCCCAAATCATTTATTTTACTACGGTTTTGGCCCCATTTTGGCCTTCCGAGGGGGCAGCGCTCCTTAAAGCTCCCCTCTTCTTTCAAGGCAAAATCATTGATTGTACGAAGGTTTTGGCCTCATTTTGCCCTTCTGAAGGGGGCAGCGCTCATTAAAGCTCCCCTCTTCTGTGATCGACTCCCTCCAAGATGGCCCCAAGAAGCGCCCAGGAGGCACCAAGAGGCCCCAAGATGGCCCCAAGAGGCTCCCAGGAGGCCCCCAAGAGGCCTCCAAGAGGCCCCCAAGATGCCCCCAAGAGGTCCCCAAGAGGCCCCAAGAGGCTCCCCCGAGGCACCCAAGACGCTCCTGGAAGCCCCTGGGGCCGCCAAGAGGCCCCCAAGACGCCCCAAACGGCCTCCAAGAGGCTCCCAAGAGGCCCGAAGAGGCTCCCCCAAGGCACCCAAGACGCTCCTAGAAGCCCCTGGGGCCGCCAAGAGGCCCCCAAGACGCCCCAAACGGGGACGAGGTGCCCGAACGCCTCACGCCACGAGGAGCCCGAACGACTCACACCAGGACGAGGGGCAGCCGAACGACTCACACCACGAAGAGCCCGAACGACTCACACCAGAAGGAGGGGCCCGAACGACTCACAACCAGGACGAGGCGCCCGAACGACTCACACACCACGAGGAGCCCGAACGACTCACACCACGACGCGGGCCCCGAACGACTCACACCACGAGGAGCCCGAACGAGTCACACCAGGAGGAGGGGCCCGAACGACTCACACCAGGACGAGGGGCCCGAACAACTCACACCACGAGAAGCCCGAACGACTCACACCAGGACGAAGAGCCCGAACGACTCACACCACGAAGAGCCCGAACGACTCACACCAGGAAGAAGGGCCCGAACGACTCACACCAGGACGAGAAACCCCAAACGACTCAAACCACGAGGAGCGCTTTCTCTCCCTCCTCCTCCGCCTCGTCCTTCTCCCGCTCCCCCCACAAGGAGGATGTACAAGGAGGCGGGAGGAAGGAGGAACAGGGGAGATATGCGGGGGCAAGCGGACACACGCCTGAAAAACACGACTGCCGGCATGCTTCGCAAGAGTTGCTGTTGTGAGATGGGCTGGTGGGGATACGCGAAGCGTAAAGAATTTCCAGGTGAATCCAGCGGTGGCGACGAGGGCCTCCCAGGAGGCCCAAGGGAGGGAAAACGAGAGAAAGGTCGCAGTGTGGGCGACTGCCTTTTCCTCCTCTGATCTGTACCCTCCTCTGCGCGCGGCCGATGCATCACGGCGAACCGACGTCTGACACAAGCCTCGGTCCTCAAAGGGTGAGGGGCAACGATAGGGGGGACTGGCATAGGGGGAGGCGCATCGACCTGGAACCGGCGATACATCGCCGATGGATCGGCGATAGGCCTCCGATAGTGCATTTGCACCTCCCTGGGCAGGTTGGGGCTATCGGGCCCCCTATCGGGGATCAATGGGCGATTGGGGGTCGATGCGTCCCCCCCTTCTGCCGATCCCCCCCTACTCCAGATTTCGTAATAAAAGGGAGGGGGTCTGGACCCTCCAAGACAAGCCATTTCAGACCTCCCCCGTGCGAAAACACCCCCAGGCCCTCCAAGATAGCCTGGAAGAGACCCCCCCGAAATGAGACCCCCCTCCCATTATTACCAAATCTGGAGTATCCTGACACGTCGATTGGCGAGTTGGCCGTTTTCGGTTCGCGAGTGGGCGTCGCGGCCATCACTTTTTTGCCGGTCCAGGCCCGTCGGTTTTGGTCCTAATTAGGCCGTTTTCATTACAGGGAGGTGTGCTGAAGGGAGGTTTGTCCGCCGCCGACTATGGCACTCGATGCTTGTTTCGAGCACCTTTGCATGATATCTGGAGTATCCTTGCCCCCCTCCCATTATTACCAAATCTGGAGTATCCTTGCCCCCCAAAAGGGGCCCTGAACCAGGGCCCCGGGGCCAGCGGACATCGGCTCGGGACGAGCAGCGGGCCCCCGCGGGGGGGCCCCGACCTCGCGGGGGCCCGCGCTGCGAACAGCAAAACACGACGCCGGATGCCTGATGGGTGGGGGGGGGCAGAAGGGATGACAGAGACGACGACGACAAGGAGGAGGAGGCGGAGGAGGAGGAGGAGGAGGATGAGGAGTATAGGAGGAGGAGGAGGAGGAGGAGGAGGAGGAGGAGGAGGAGGAGGAGGAGGAGTATGAGGAGAAGGAGGAGGAGGAGGAGGAGGAGGAGGAGGAGGGAGGACGAGGGCGCGGCAAGGCAGCGCCAAGAGCAGCCTGCATCGCTCCGCGAAATCGGACGGTGCGTCGGATCGGACGGCACGAAGCGCGGAGCCAGAATCGCATGGAATCGGCCGCGCCAGGATGTTAGGAATCAACTGCTGGGAGGTCTCCGTCGGAAAGATTAAGGAGGATTGAGCCCCATTTCGGGGCTGCGTCAGAGTGGGCTTCGGATTAAGCGGGATCAAGCCGGATTAAGCGGGATCACGCGGGATTAAGCGGGATAAAACCGGATTTCGGACCAGGACGAAATCAGAATTTAACCTCCCAGGAGTTGCATCGAAAAGGATGCACGGCGGCGCCGTACAGGCATCGGGCCGTACACTGGGTCGCCCAGCAAACCTGGGCATCGAACCAGATCGGGCTGGCCGAGGTCGCTGTCGGTATCAAATCGGCACGGGCCTGGAACGGCGGTCGGAGGTCATGCCAAGTCAGGCACGGCAGGTGCGTTTCGCGACGACCCTGGCGTTGGCGTCTGGCGCCGCGTGGCGTGGATCGTTCAAGCTTGAGCGATCCACGGCTTTTCGATCGCCCGATTGTTCCATGTCGACCAAATATGGTTGGAGGCGGCCAAAGGGTCTGGCCTGGTTGGGACCTCAAAACCGGTCCCCCGACGCCTCCCGGGGTCCATCCCCGGATCTGTTTCTGACGGTCCCCGGGCCCGACAAGGGAGCAAATGTCTGGAGGGAGGACCCGGCAGAGCTCCGCCGGCTTCCCGGGCGCGGCGCGGGACACCTCCGCCGCCTCGCCCGCCCCCCCCCCTCGGGGTCGGAGGGGGGCGGCGGCGGACCCCGACAGGGCGACGAGGGCGAGGGCGGCCAGGGGGAGAAACACAGGGGGGGCAGATGTCGGCGGTGGACAAACCTCCCTTCAGTAAACCGCCCTTTAGTAACACCGACCCAGGACCAACACCGACGGACCCAAACCTGCAAAATAACGACCGCGACGCCCTCCCGCGAATCGGAAACGGCCAAATCGCTGATCGCCGTGTCAGGGTAGGAGGTCTATCAACCTCCGCTGATGTCTGGGAGCACAAAAAAAACCAGATCAACGACGCGCCGCCGCGGGGAAATACACGCCAGGATGGCCGGCCCGGGAAGGCCCCAAGACGGCCCAAAGGCCCCCCAGGACAGCCCAAGAGGGCCCGGGAATGCCCCAACGAGGACTCGCGATCGTCGTCGCCGTCGCCGTCGCCGTCGCCGTCGTCGTTGCCGTCGCCGTCGCCGTCGTCGTCGTCGTCGTCGTCGTCGTCGTCGTCGTCGTCGTCGTCGTCGTCGCCGTCGCCGTCGTCGTCGTCGTCGTCGTCGTCGTCGTCGTCGTTCACCGTCCCCCTTCAGGGTCGGCGGCATCGGCCGTAAGGCCTTCGCAATCAACGACGCGCCGCCGCGGGGAACCCATCGGCGTGCCACGGGCGCCCGCGAAGACGTGACGACCAGGCCTTCGGACGTGAGAACGAGGGAGGGCTGCACGCGAACGGGCGCCCCACGGCGGCGTGCCGCTGTGGAGGGAGGCGCGTCCCTCCCGAAGTGCGCGAGGCGGAGGAGGAGGAGGAGGAGGAGGAGGAGGAGGAGGAGGAGTGTAGGAGGACGAGTGTAGGAGGAGGAGTGTAGGAGGACGAGGAGGAGGAGTGTAGGAGGAGGGGAAGGAGGAGGAGGAGGGAGGAGGAGGAGGAGGAGGAGAGGAGGACAGGACGAGGAGGAGGAAGGAGGAGTGTATGAGGAGAGATCTAAGGAGGAGGGGGAGTGTAGAGGGGGGGGAGTGTAGAGGAGGGAGAAGGTAGGAGGAGGAGGAGCAGGAGGAGGAGGAGAGGAAGAGACGAGGATTGAGGGGAGGAGAAGTTGTTTTAGAGGAGGAGGAGAATGACGAGAGGGAGGAGTAGGAGGCAGGAGGGAGGCAGGAGGATGAGGGGAGGACTTGAGGACGAGGAGGAGGAGGGGACGAGGGGACGAGGGACGAGAGGAGGCAGGAAGAGAGGAGATTAGAGGAGGAGGAGGAGAGGAGGAGAGGGAGGGGAGGGAGCGGGGGGGGGAGATGAGGAGGAGGAGGAGGAGGAGGAGGTCAAGGAGGAGGTTGAAGGAGGGGGAGGATTTCTGGGAAAACAGGGAGTGCAACTGCAGAAGGACGAAGCGGTAGTGGACCCCTCGACGCCCGTCCTCCCAACGCGCCCCGCATTCTGCGGGGCTGGGGCCGTGTAAGACGCAGCACGGGCACGAGAGGTCTCACGTGGTCCCGCGCAGGTCCAACGCAAGCTGTGGATCGGGGAAGAGGGGGCACCCTTGGCGGGGTGCACTTTGGTTGCCCTTCAGCGGGGGCACCAGCAGCTGCTCCAACAATTGCCTTTGGATTTTGCCTGTCAGTCGTGTCCTTACCTCCTGCTGATTTGCCCGCATGTCATTCCACTCCGCATTGCTTCGAGGCGGCGCGAACACAGTTTGTGGCGAATATTGCGACGGCCCTGCATGGCCAGCCAAGCAGATGGCAGGCCGGCGCGTCAGATGCGAGGGAGAGATGAGACGGGAGCAGCAGGGAGAAGGAGAGTGGACGGCGGTGGGGGAAGGATGAGAAAGGAGAGAAAATGGAGTATAGGCGGAGAGAACAATCCATGAAAGCAGTTTGCGTGAGGGTGGAGCAGGACCCAAAGACCCGACAACCCCGCAGATCTCCCTCAACAGACCCGCACGAAGAAACCGTATGAGATCCTGAAGACATTCAGCGCCAAGTTGCTTGTCTGTGTCGCAGGCCCCTGGAACCATCAAACTCCTTCCCAGTGGAATGTCGTCTTCAATCGTCGACACACACATCTATATATATATATACACACCTGGGGCG